TTTGATTGTCCGTATCCATATGTAACTAAGTGATATAGCATCATGTAACTGAGCATCTTATTAAATTACTTTACATTGTTTAAGCATTTTTAGTTTGAATTTAGCCAGCAGAATTTACGGATATCTCTTGGCGCATCCAGCAGTCCAATATTTAGACGAAGGAGCAAATCTAGTTGGAGTACAATCAATTTGGGCAAAACCACCTTCGTAACCGAATTATCCATGTGATGTCTGGATAGGCCATTTCTTTCTTCGCCATATCTCTACGCGAAAACTGTGACCCAAACGACCAGCTTATACCATCGGGACCGGTCACGATGATCCACCACCGAAGCCAGAAACTTCCTTAACAGGTGAAAACACTGAGGCTGAGGCAAATAGATTAGCGAGAAATAATTTCGCTGCAAGAGGCAAAATACGTGAGGAAAAAAGGCCCGAAGATACACCCGTCAGTGTATTACCATGAGGAGAACTACATTAAGGAAAGAATGTATCTGTATAAGGCAAACCAGGTCGAAAAGGAAGGTTTGGAAGTTTTTTTATCTAAGACTGGCAGGACAGACAGCAAAACGTGGATGGGCAGAAGACGCCGAAACGGACGTGATTAGAAAGATATTCCAAGCCAAAGTGAGATTTGTGGATATTCAACAAGAATTATGCATTAGACCAGGCGCGAATATTGATAGCGTTTTTGCAAGAGAAGGGTTAGTTAATGATCGAAACTCTACAAAAGCAGAATTCATCATCGAGCACTTCTGGAATCCCCTTTAAGATTAAACAAGAGCCCATTTCAATCGCGGAACAATGTTCAAAGTTGGACCAACGGAGCACTACAAGTTAACAGAAATCGAAACCCAAGCTCCAGCTCAGGCAAAAAAAACTTCCAACGCAGTCAGGCCGTGTTGTCTCTGCGGAAATAAATTTACGCCAGAGCATAGTGAAAAAAGCAGCAAAGGGGGCCATTTGTATCAATTGTGGGAAGAAAGGCTCCTTTGCAAAAAGCTGTAAATCCACTAAGTCCAAGATCGGAAATGTAGTATCGGACAAAGCAATGGACTGTAACCTCATAGAATCGGACAGTAAATCTGAATATTCACTTTTGAGAATAGAAGAAAATCGAGAAGTCGAGGCAGTCAAACATCTAGAAGACATAAAGGCAGCCATAGGCCCAACTAAGTGTTTAAGGGTAACTCTCAGAACAACTTGGCTAAAACTCAGTAACACCCTGGATACCGGAATCCCGGCATTATGTTTTAACAAAGTAACAGCAGACTTATCTTGAAAAAAGAAAAAACTCGAAACTATCGAACTCCGTCAGAATTGTAGACAAGGCTCAGGGTGAGAGTAAGATAAGAATATCAAAATATAAAAATCATTTAATTCACCATATCCACTACCTGATTTTACTGCACCAAACAAGGAACTACAAATGGACTTCACCGGCCCATTATCGGACAATAAGGGGAAAAAGTTATTCTAGTGGTGATAGATCATCTAAGTCAATACGTGCGGACCAACATGTCAGATTAAACGGAAAAAGGAATTAAACAGATATTATTTCCTGTCGTTGATTATCGTGGTTGCGGACTAGTTGAAAGATGTATTCAAACATTTAAGAGGTCATTGGGGACAATGCAACTAGATCCTAATTTCAGTAATTTTCAATCCGCAATTAAACTTAATTATTAAAATATTCGGACGGTCGAACACACTTCACCAAAAAAATCACCATTTGGACATCATTTTGGACGGAAGCTAAATACTTTTAAGAGACAAGCTTTTGGGTATCTAAGATCGGGACATTTTGGAAAAAGTCATGCTGACACCTGAACAGATGAAAAAAAAGTTGGATTCCAGACCGAGGCTCAAAGCTGTTCATCGGGTGAAACGAGCAGAAAGGTGTCACTTAAGTTTGAACAACGGTCACCAGAAACTGAAGGTTTGAAGACGCTACAAATTTCAAGGACAAAAATTAACTACTGGCTTCTACGATGCAAAATCGCCAAAATCATGGCACCTTGAGATTTAGAACTAAGGGTGAGAAGCATAGAAGTCGTCATATATCTTCTATTAATCTTGAATACGATGTTACTCTTAATCCAAACAAAGTTATCGTAAATCTGAAGATATTGCGCTGGAAGTCGAGGAAACCATTATTTGAAGTTTTCAAGGATAAAATTGGAAAGGTAACAGAAAACAATACACAATTTTTACCGAGAAGGGTAAGGTTGTCAAAAAAATCATTTTTCAAAAAAAAAAATTATATCTCATAATTAAATGATTTTAGATTCGGCTTCAAAAGCGAAGGTTTGCACTTTCGCATATACGCCAAAAGGACCACAGAATACAATTTTATGGCCGGTGAGAATCTTCCCTCGAACATGGAAACTTTTGGATCCAATTAATCGGATGAACAATTATGTATCCAAGGGCGTCACAAAATAAGAGGCATCCGAAGTTAGCAGCCAGTTGGACCCGAGATAGGTCACCGGGGAGAGACGATCTTGAACCAGCTCTACTGCGATTTCAACGAGAAAAAAAGATCTCAGTATCTTTTCAAAATTCGAGAGCATTGCCAGAATCACCGGCTAAAGATTATCCAATGCCAATAGAGAAGCAAACAGAGGCTAGTCCGGCCAGTCTGAAACAGCCGACTGACACTCAAACGCCTATACATTATCCAGGACTACTACAGATGAAACTGGGGACGAGAGAAAATGAGGCAGTCAAACAGCCAGACATTTCACCGGTCAAGGAGAGTGAGCCCAAATCACAAGAAGTAACAGCAGCACCAAAGAACTTCCAAGAGGCAGAAGAAATCAAGTCGAATGTGTCAATTTCATCGAGAACTTCAGAAAGGATGAAAGGACAGACTAGGTTTCATGGCAGCACACTAGGTCACGCGGTTAATATATTTGAGGAGACAGGCACGAGTGCATCGAGGACGCCAGCGATTCCGCAATCAGAAGAGTTATATACAGCTTTAAGAGTTGCTTTCATCGTCTAATGAAGAGTAATCGGAAGGAAAATTGGCTCTTGAAAACCACGTGAACTCGTACCGAAACCAAAAATGAAGCGAAACCAAAAACAAATGTACTGCAACTGTTGAGTGTTTCAAAGTTTCAATTTTCATTCAAAACTTTTCCTATTGGGGGCAATTTGACACGGCATTACTCAAGTTCAGCCTAAGATACAGCGAATTAAATTATTTAATCAACAACCTGTCAAATCTCTTTGTGATAAAACTGAAGTTACTTGCGTCTCTCATAGCTTCATCTATTGTAGAAAAATCACATTTGATTCAACTCGTTTGATTGTCCGCATCCATATGTAACTAAGTGATATACCATCATGTAACTGAGCATCTTATTAAATTACTTTACATTGTTTAAGCATTTTTAGTTTGAATTTAGCCAGCAGAATTTACGGATATCTCTTGGCGCATCCAGCAGTCCAATATTCGGACGAAGGAGCAAATCTAGTTGGAATACAATCAGTTTGGGCAAAACCACCTTCGTAACCGAATTATCCATGTGATGTCTGGATAGGCCATTTCTTTCTTCGCCATATCTCTACGCGAAAACTGTGACCCAAACGACCAGCTTATACCATCGGGACCGGTCACGATGATCCACCACCGAAGCCAAAAACTTCCTTAACAGGTGAAAACACTGAGGCAAATAGATTAGCGAGAAATAAGTTCGCTGCAAGAGGCAAATTACGTGAGAAGGAAAAAAAGGCCCGAAGATAAACCCGTCAAAGTATTACCGTGAGAAAATTTTAGCAGAATTTACGGATATCCCATCCTTAATGAACGTGTGTTAGCTTCTGGAAAACAAACTCCGTCTTGCTGCTTCATTCACGTTTTTTTTATATAGTTGATGCTATAGTTGCATTTTTAAGAAAAATTGTCACTGATAGATAAAGAAGCGGTATTCAGACTTGCAAAAAGTAATTTCGACGCAAAATCAGTTAATGGCAAAGTAATCAATATAATTTTTTAAGCTTAACAGTCATTCAGTTCTTTGTTTTTTTTGAAGAGAAGATTCCTTTTCGAACTTCGTCGTTCTATATCTCAAACTGACATTCTAAAAAGTGATCATCATTATTGAGTGCATAAAACCGTGCACAATTCAGTCCAGCAAATTACCTAACTTTAAACCTTCTTAACGGAAAATGATCACAGGTTGAATTTCATTTGTTATTTAAGCTCAGAATGGAGATCTTCAAAACGCAACAAGGATAGCCGGTTTAGTACAGAATGTTCCGATGACAGTCTTAAAAAATACAATACTAAAATAAAATACTAAATAAAATACTAAATAAAATACTAAAGTAAGTCAATTGCAAAACAGTTTTTGAAGAAAACGATTAGAAAAATTAAAACTTTTTTTGCATTTTTTTTTTGAATTTTCAAGTTTTTGATTCCCAAAATTGCGCTAAAAACTCCAGAAACTACCTTTCATTTAATAAACCTAAGTTTTCATGGCTGAAATTGAACTTAAATAAGCTTTTTCAAGCATATGCGGTCACCTTATTAGCTCGAAATTAGACCCAAAATCAAAAATTTCAAACCAGTTTTTCTCAACACTGAAAACAATTTCAAAACTTTAAATGTTGTTCGAATCACGACTGAAAGGCTTCACTATGATATATCACTTAACCCAGTCCGATCTTTGTCGTAGCGTGGAAAACAAAAAAAACTAAAACACCCGAATACAAAGTTCCTCCCCATTTTCAATGGTCGGAACAATAAAAAACTCCCCAAAACAATTATTTCAGAGACAAAGGGAGCTACTTTAGGAGAAAAAAGTGGACTGATTGATTGTCTAACAAACCTATGCGCTCTCGCGTAACCAGAAACATCATTTACTTAGTGCTCCTAATTGACGTCTTAACCAACTTGCAGTCTTACGTTTGTTTATTATATAATATGATATCTTACATTTGCTTATATGCTTCTAAATTTCATTGGACATAACAATATCAACTACAAGGTTTTTCCTCTGCTTCAAAAATTGGTTCAGCAAATTTTGATTGTAAAAAAATAGATATTAAGCACAGAGGTATTAAAATCATTTTTCATATGATAACACAGCAATGCCTTCACAACTGATTGTAAATCATGCACGTGGTTTATCTGCCTGAAGTATTTCAAATAAATATTCAACATTTGTAGGGAAATTATGAGCATCTTTTTGACTGCCAAAAAACACAAGTACTCAATTAAGAGTCCTCATCGGTCGAAAAAAAAAATGATCAATTCAATTCAACTCATTCAAGACAATGACACTAACCCATCGAACTACATGTATATAATATTTTAAGAAACGCAGTCAATATGTTCTCTGCAATAATTTTTGCGCTACTTTGTTCGATGCGTTTGACACGATAATTTTGGAGCACAAATCACGAATCAGCAACCAAAGTCAAAACTCAATAAATTTATTTGAAATAAGCAATGTTTCAAGTGACAATATTATAACACAGGAAACTCAACTTTATTATTTATAAGAATTTTTTCTAGATAATCGTTAAAAATTTGAAAAAATAATTACTGAAACGTTTGAAAACATCTAACTTTCTACTGAGCTACGGACTACTTATTAAGTTATTATAAATTCTCATTATAAAACTCCGTAATCTACGGATTTCGAGTTCAAGTTCGGTTTCTTAGATCCCAGAACTCTCCCTTTATTAGGTCCCATGTTAATATTAATCACCTCATTTGGGCTATAAATTCCAGCTGCTTGATTGTTAGCTGATGGATTTTCATCCAATTTCATCTGGTTCAGATTTCTGTTTTGAAGATGGAAGTTTCCCTGGCCGTTACTTTGAGACACTGCCGCTACATTTAGCTGGTTGTTGGTCTGGTTCAAGTAAGCGGAACTTTGCGAGTTGTTGACGCTCTCAATAAGTGCTTCCTGATAAGTTTGATATCTTTGGAGCTGAAAGCAATATTTATCAAGTTTTTTATCATCTTTTTTATCTTCGCTCAGTAATTAGGGGCTGGAGTTGCAGAATTCAGATTTTTCTAAGGCATCAGCATGTACTAAAATTGAACTTCGACCAAACAAATTCCACATTTTATTTGGAAAAAATTTCTTAAAGGTGCTCAAAATAAACATTCATTTCGGGTTATTATGACCGTACTTTACCGAGTTATGACTTGGCTCAACTAAACCGTTTTAAAAAGCGAGTTTTAAAAGAATCGAAGTCGAAGTCAACCCACCAGAATTGAAAAAAGATCGTGAATAGTTTAGTTAAAAAACTTTAGGACCTACGAAAAGAAACTCAATTGGTTTATTAACATTTCAGAGCCAGTAGATACTCACTTCGAACGCGTGGTATTGGACCTCGTGCAGTGCCGCCTGCACTACCTGCTTGCTGGCGTTGTTCGGCGGGAGGGTGTCCGCGTGTCTCTTCATCGCATCCGCGTGGCACATCTCACTCGAGTTGATCCAACTGCCCCACATGGAGATCTGGTCTTGCTACAACACAGCACAGCCGCATTGCAATTATAAATGACGAGCACAATTGACAATTCATAGAAAACAAAGCCAACTGACGCAGCTGGAAAAGAGTAATGAACGCAAGAAACTGAAAAAGAGTTAACTTGTTGTTTCAAAAACCTTCAACTTTTGAATTTCGAAGAAAAAATAGATGGCCTTAAAGCTGTTTGAATTTTTTGTTTGAATTACAATTTATGATGGACACTTTTTTAAAATTAATTAGTTTGAGAAAACTGGATCAACAGGTAAAACTTTTATTTCGCTGGTAATTCTCATAATTAATTTCATTTTCGAAATCAGAAGTCGATCACGTTTTTCGTGACCCCTACACTTTTGCTGTTCGATAGTGGAGTTTGATTTAACTTTAACAAGGAAAATGCACTGAACGGAGCGGTGGTGAAGTGGTTACGTCTTCGCCTCTCAATCGAAAGGTCGGATGTTCGAGGCCCACCATGATCCGTGCTCGTTGCTTGAGGGTGAAGCAATTTTACCCAGCCCAGAAAAATAACCGAAAAAACTGCATGTAGTTAAGACAGGGGTACAACAGCGATTCGCCGTGATGAGCTGTACAGCTCTTGTGTTGGTCCTTCCCCGTGGATAAATGGTCTTAATCTTAAACTTAAAAAGAAAACACAAGCAAAACCGCGAAAAATCAACTACGTTCATTACTCTTAAAAACAGCCGAGGCAGACGCAGATAAAAAATTTTAGAGGTAAAGGATTTGCAAATAATTAAGTGGCACATGAAATACTTACATTTAACTGTTTTTTTTAACACCGGAAAGAATTTCAAACATTTTTCTTGAAACCCGAATCGCAAAAAAATTGCCATCATGATTTCAATTTATCTCATGGAACCTTCTTTGGTGATATAATACAATAGGTGGTAATTTTGAGAGTTATGCATGTAATAAATTTGAGAACTATAATACACAATATAGTAATTTAATTTTCAATCAACTAAACTACTACTACTAAGATAGTTTTAGTAAATACAATGTTCTGCCAGATGAAATGCTAGTATTTACACTTAAGTTTTACACTTTTTTCTTTTGGAAAAAATTTGGCTTTTGAATTAAATATAAATAGTGAGCGAAGTATAACAAAAAGCGATCGAGCTATTCAAATTGAACCTACCACCTATTGTAATATATCACCCCTTCTTTTAGTATCTTGACCGCAGCAGAAAAATGTTTACATGATAGTTGGGAAATGATGATTTTTGTTTAGCTTACCAGACTGAGGTTTGTGAAGGAGGTAGGTTTGAAATGTTTATGGAATGAGAGAGTGGAAGAGGACTGAGAGGCCCCCTTGCTGGAGTTGGAGGCTGCTGAGTTTGAGATGGGGGGCATCAGAGGCGGGGCTGAGAAGGCGGCAATGAGATTAATCGTACACACCCATTCCTCCATCTCCTGCTTGGACCTATGCACGAGGCGCGGCAAAGGATTACAGCACAAAGAGTTACAAAGTGCTTACACATAAGCCAAGATGCACTAAGCAAACTGGAACCTGATCCAATTATATATATTATTATTGGTTATAAATTAGATATTTTATCCCTATAAAATATTAAAGACTAACCAATCACACTCCATCTAACTAACAACCCATTTATTTGTAAGTGCTGAAATTACTTTTAATTTCAGCACCGGAGCATATTGAATTTAACTTACAACTTAGTTGCCTTTTCCAAGAGACCGACTCGTAACAAAACCAGTATACTCTAGATCTATTGAGACTAAGAGATATAAGAGTAAGATTAAGATCGGTATTAGACTAAAAAGTTGCACGAATCTATCCGGCCGAAAATAAGATAGCGTGACGGGCAGACGGTGTACCCTATCTGAAATTACTGTATGAGTTAGACCTCAGACCCAACTCAAAACACGAGCAAAAAAAGCAAAAGGAAGCTTTGAAAGGTATTTTTTGTTATACATGCCCGACATTAAACGACGAAAAGTAACAATAGAAACTTTTGCTAAAAAGTTGAATGGCTATAACTCGCAAATGCACAGCTGATAAGCTAACACGAAGCAGTTCCCCCTAATTTTTCACTTTTTGCCGCTCTATTTTTTGCACATTTATTTCACAATAATGAGACCAAATCCGTTTTTCTTTTAAACTATCGTTTAATTCTCAGTTTTATATTTTTTCAAGTTGATGCAACCCTCTAGATATCAATCCTGCATTTTTCTGTAAATTGATCCAATCTTTTTATAAAATTGTCATTTTCACGTGATTCCTACTGTCCAATTTGGTAAACCAACACTAAAACCCGACCGACCCTTTGGCGCAAATATGCAATAAACTTGACCAGATCGTTCTTCGAAGAGCTCAATAATCAATTTGGTCGACCTACAAAAGCCGTAATTTTTCAAAATCTGTTCTTCGAGCAAAGCCTGGATCCACCCCTGATCTAAATCACTAGTTCTTTACTTAGAAAACTGAAAAAAAAACAATGAAGATTAAAAGCATGATATTTGTCTAATTTAAAGGTGATGTAAATAAAAACTGGCGCTAAAACACGTTTGAGGAGGGATAGTGTCTTGTAAGAGCGAGGCATTCTCCAGTCCTTACGAACTTCGAGGCAATGAAATCTTGCCAAGTTTTCCGACCTCTTAACTATTTTTGTTCCCACTTTCGATACGAAAGTAACGGAATATTTGTGCTCGGTTGGGTTTTTTTTTCTTCAGACAAATTTCGACTTTTTAACTAGCCATTTTTGACAGATTTTTTTACATCAATCAAAAGGTCCTGAGCTCAAATTTGAAAAAAAAAATTTACCTGTGATCAATTTTCGTAAAGTTATGGGGGTTTAAAGATTGACATTTTGGCCAATTTGGGACAATTAACGCGCGATATATTTAATCCGTCTTAGAAATCGTTCCAAATTGGTTGATAGAAGCTTCTTTACCATAATTGATTTGTTACAACGAGCGAAATCTATAATTTTGTACTTTACATGGCGTGTGGGGGGATGATTTTCATAAAAAATTTCAAATTTTAGAAGAAAAAAAACTTTTAGTACAATTAACTTTTTAATGTTATTACTGCTACATAAACCTTAAAAGGCAGCCGGAACATTCAGGGCTTCGCCCTGATACGAGCAGTCTTGTTATTAACTTTAGTATCAACAAATAGCCATAAAATATCTGATCAACGCTAGAAATACAAACAGCACCAAATTCATTCAAATTAATATAGACGGTGTTGAATCTGACTGTTTTGTATGAGCACCATTAGATTAAAATTAGAGCGTACGGCAAAAGAGCGTATGATCGTTAGATCCCTGTTAGTGGGGCCCCAAAGAAATTTCCTCACACCTCGAAATCTCGGAAACAGGGTTTGCATTTGTTTGTTTGTCCTTTTGTGGGAGCCATCTCTCATACTTGCTTTTTGGAGAGACGAACAATCACACTTGTACTGAGTGTACCTTCATTTCAGTTACCTGCACCGGTATTGATATTCTGCCCAGTCCGCCAAGCGCACAGTGAAGTCCCAGCTGCCCACTCTCTCCTTCTCTTTCTTCGAAGACGCCCTCAGAACCCCTGCTGCTCCATAGAGACTCCTGCTGTTCACACTCTCTGAGAAGGAAGATGTGTCTTCACCACCCAGCACCGACCCTGCTTCGTCGACATTCTCCGAAGAACTAGTCATACTTGTCACCGAAGGGGGATCTATATGTGAAGTACTGCTGAGCGGATGCACAGGCGAAGCAAAAGCGTGGTGTAAAGACAGAACCAGTGCCTGGAAACAAAACTTAACAAGCTAAAAAAAATTGACCCTTTTCCAATTCTCCGGCAAATTTAAGAATTCTTCCTGAAAAAAAACATCACCAGGACCTATACAAGATTATTCACTACGTTCACATGACTTAAAAACATGAAATAAACATGTTTTCTCAAAGAATGGTTTGTTCGTTCGCCATATTGAATTTCATCAGACATTTACCAAGTGGAGTGGTTGATTAGGATGCGGGAAGCCTCCCAAACCATAAAGATGCCATCAAGATTGAAGGAGATCCAAAAATAGACCGTCATTAAGTGACAAAAATTAATCTCTCGGAACGAATCTACGGGCGATGAACTCGATTACAATAAAGCTGCAACATTAAGCACTAAGTGAAAATGTCACTTTACAAAAAGGAAATGTAAAACAACGGTTACAATTGAATGCGAGTGCGGACAGTTTTTTGAGACCTGTGGAAACACTGGAATGAACTTTTCTTGCAATGCTCTGCACAGGGGTGGATTTAGAGGACTCGACTACCTCGCCACCCAAATTGTACCCTTTTACAACACCTCTAGTACCCCCTTGCTACTATTTTACAACACCCATTTTTAGGCGGCGAACTTTTAATGTCGTCTTTGACGCCAATATATAGTAATTTTTTGGAGGCAGGCGCACTAAAAACGTTATTTTTTCTCGGTCAAAACAATCCAAAATGTGCCCCTATTTGGTCCGTTTTTATTCAAAATTGCCTACCGCGCAGAAAAACTTGACAAAATTGGGTTATTGTAAAATTCTGGGAGAGCTCAAAAAATTAAAAATGTCGACCTAAGAAAATCCGTCCTCTCGAAAAATTCCTAGATCCACCCCTGATCTGAAAAAATCCACCCATTCTAGAAAATCCTAGATCCCCACGCATCTGAGTTTTCTAAGAAAGAAAGAATAAATATCTCCGGTCATTCATTACATAAATTTGGCAAATCATCGATATAAGTAATTATTAAAATGAGACTCGGAGAGGATAGACAACGGGGCCATAAGGCCCACAAACGCCTACCCTAGCTATGCATGCTTCTTTCACTATCAGGAAAAGATTTTTTTAAATGTTTTTTTTTTGAATTTGTTGAAAATTTGTAATTTCATCCATATCTCCTAAGCTACGAGCATTTGGACGATCAAGTATTGTCATTTTAATCCGAAGCCTATATTATACGTTCGTTATGAGGCATACGGATTTTTTTTTTGAATTTTTTTTAAATAGTAAATCGTCCATATCTCCTAAGCTAGGAGTTTCTGTAAGGTCAACTTTTAGCGTTAGAACCTCAACCATAAGATACACAACATAAGATACACAACATTACCATGCAACCACGGGTTCAATAAATTTTTTCTTTTTATAATTTGAATATGTAATCATTAACTCTTCATTTTGCAATCAAAACACAGTTTTAAATGTATGATAAAATGTTACTAATTCTGTTTTCGAATATCTTTCAATATCCTCGGGGATTAACTTTTGCGCTGAGAGAAGGTTGAAAAGCTTGGTAGCACGATATCGAACGGAAAACCGATCGATTTTTTTCTTACATATGGGTTCAGCTAATAGTTTTGTTTTCGACAGTCTCGTGGCCCTTGTTTTCTTTTCAAAGGAGAACAGATTGTTTAAAAAACTTTGAGAGAGAGACTTTGTGACAGCACGAAGCACGAACTTGAGTAGTTCGTAAACATGACTTTCAAACACCGATAAGAATTTATTCTCTAGAAAAATATCACGAGAATATCGCTACGCTTTCGAAAATAGATGAATTTAAGAATTTTCTTTTGCAGTAGAAAAAAACATTCAAGCGAACTGTAGCTACAACAACCGTATATCAGAATTCTGTATTGAATGATAGGAACCACATTACTTCTATAGTATTCAAGCAATTGGTTTCGTGGCGCATGATGTCTTAGTTTCGATAAAATCCCGCATTGTTTTCCGAGTCTCATTTTCACCGAATCGATATGACTTCGAAATGATAGTTTATAGTCAATATATAAACCTAGATATTTACAAACAGGTTTATTAATCACCTCTGAGCAATTAAGTGTGAATTTTGAATTGGAAGCACTTTTTATGTTCATTTGTATTGTCTTATCATTATTTATAATTAGCTTATTTCCATGTAACCAATGGTCAAGATAACGAAGATCATCTTTAATATCTATAATCTGGCAGCCTATAGCAGTTATGTTGGTGTCATCTGCCAATAAGATTACTTCTGCTGTTTTACATGTCACGGGCAAATCATTAATGTATATAAGGAAAAGCAACGATCCTAAAATCGATCCTTGTGGGACGCCGCATTTTATTTTTTTTCCAATCTGAAGAAACACCATTTACTTCAACTCGTTGTTGACGATCGTTGAGGTAGGACCTAAACCATCTTAAGCAAATGCCTCTAATGCCATATGCATCAAGTTTCGTCAGAAGTATTTCATGATCAAGAGTTTTTCTTTTCTTAAATCAAGGAAAAAACTATAAGCCTCCTTAAACGAGTTTTTAAGTCTTATTTTTTCAGTTAGCTCAACAACTGCTTCTATTGTACTATGTTTTGATCTGAACCCAAATTGCTTGCATTACAACAAAGCGAATATTCCATGTATGCGTAGATTCGATTATACATTGTTCTTTCGTATACTAAACTCCTTACAATAAGAAAAGAGATTGGCCGGTAATTATTTTCATCTAATCGGGAACTGTCTTTATGAACAGGAATTATTTTTGCTTTAAGCAAAGCAGAAGAAAATATGCCTTTTTCAAAAGAAAGGTTGACTAGAAACGATAGAAAAGGGGAAGTAACGTTTTTTGCTAACGGGGAAATGTGGAAGTAACGTCTTTCACTATTTGATTGCTAATATAGTCATCCCCGGATGTTGATTTTTTGTCTAATTGACAAATAATATCGTTGATTTCTGATGGCGTTGTTCTGTATAGACCCATTGACCAATTTAATTTAGGTACTGGTGGTGGAGATTCATTTGGGATATCTGTTTTCAAGTTTTCACCAATGTTGATGAAAAAATCATTGAATCTATTTGCTACATCTTTTTCAGTTGGATTATCATTTAGTTTTTGGCATGATTCAAGAATGGGCACTGTAAAACGAGATATAGATTTTCCATTTAGCTCATTAAGTAATTTATATGTTTGTCTTGAGTCACCAATACAATTCTTCAATTTATTCCAATAAAATTTTCGTTTATTCATTTTGACCGCTTGTTCGAATTTTTTTCTTAGATTAGTAAAAGTATTCAATAAAATACTATTTTCAGTGTTTTTTTCCAGTTTCTGTGGGCTTTGTTCCTCTTTGATCTAAGATTTTTTAACTCGTTGTTGAACCATGGTGGATGTGGTTTCTTGCTAGGGTTAATTTTCGTGATTCGCGCATATCGGTTTAACACTTTTTCAAAGATAGATTGAAAGCTGTCAAAGGCTTGCTCGGGATCTTCCATTAGTAGAATCCCAGTTTCATTCGCTTGGAATGATAGTTTCAAATCTTTGAGAAAAAACTCAGCTTTGATTTGTATTTTAGAAAATTGGTATCTCTAAAAGTGTATATAGAATCTGAAGAAATTTGTTTTACTGGCCAGATGATTAGGATCGGATAATGATCAGCAATCTCTTCATACTGCATGACTCTCGTTCTAGCATCCGATAAATTTTTATTGATAAAGTGGTCGATACATGTAGATGATGTTGCTGATACGCGAGTCGGTTCTATACCAAAAATTTCAAACCCATTAGAAATGATGCTATTTATGTAGTTAGTTGAAAGCTGATTGTCCAGTAGCGTATTGATGTTAAAATCTCCACATATGAGGACCTTTTCCGATGTTGAATTATTCATTTCCAAGAAATCTTCAAGCTGATTAACCAACTGCAATTTGTTTGTTCTAGGTGGGTTGTAAACAACACCTATTTTCAACCGAAAAAAGTTTTTGATTTTGTGCCTGGCATTGTGCCTGGTGTTGGCAAAACATTGTAACTAAGGGCTGGGGTAGTTGGCTTTAAAGCTGCAAGGATTTGAGGAACAATTGCATTTACAATTTCACTTGCAATCGATTGAGTTCCTTCCTTCTCCTCAAGGGGAGAAAGATTTATCTTTCGCTTTTTTACGGATCGTCGCATAAGATTGTTCGCTTTTCCTTCGTCATTGGAGGTTGACAGTTTTGGCGTTTCTATAACATCATCAGCCCAATTTAATTGATTGGACTCTTTCGGCTTTCTGGTTTCAGTTAATGTTCCAGTTACTGCATGTAATTATGCTTTGGTTTTCACTTTTACGGGGTTAGGATGTGGATTGTTAGGGTTATTGGCATACACATCTTTTTTATGAGTATAATATGGGATAGGATTGGCTATCGCTTCTGATCGAATTGCTCTTCCGCGAGGGGATAAGCATTCTTCGATAAACACTGGTTGTCCTTTATTGTTCGGGAAACTTTTCAACCATGATCTGCGCCTCCAAACAACGATCCGCATGATATATGAATTTCACAATTAGAGGCGCATTTGTTCCAGGTTTCAAAGGATGACAGGCGGCAATATTATGTCTGGGAATATTAATCGACATGATGTTACTCATAATTTGCAGGATATCGCCCATTGTGTCTGCTGTGGTATCAATGTTGGAGAAAGTCAGGCATAACTTACGAGAGTACTTCTCAAGATCTACTACTCTTTCGGATACATCGTAAATTTCGTTCTGATTTTGTATGATCCTTTTCTCAAATTCCGATTGATCCGCCTTCAAGTTTTTGATCTCTTTGCTTTGCTTGACTACTATATTGACTAACTGTGTAATTACTTCAAGCAATTTTGGATCTCCCGATAGTCCTTGTATTTTCCCCAATAATTCATATGTTTCGTCTCGTTCGCAAAGGTCAACTTGGTCAAAAATAAGATCATCATCGCAGATAGATCGATTATCATTCATTATCTATTTAATAAGTTTATCACATCAATTAGGCTAATAGATGGTGATGCTCAAAATAAAGCAGTCTACGCGACCTAGAGAATGAAAAAAGAGTGGCGCAGGTGGTTTACAAAAAATTTTCTTTTTATCTCACTCAAGGTCACCACTTCACCCAGTGAAACAATCAGACCTGCCTAACTATAGAATACGACTTTTCTGATCAAAAATGGACTACATTTAAAAAACTGTACAAATAATTATCTGGATTACTAGCGTGTAACGCACCTCTGGTTCTTCGAATTTTTGAGAACTCATAAAAAAACCGCATATATTGAAAAACATACCTGCAACCTTTGAGTGTACTCTGACAGCACCCAATAACAGGGTTCGTATTTTCCAACTTTGCAATTTCTTTGAATTTTTTTAATTCAAGTTTTGGGAAAAAAAACGTTCAATTTTGTGAAGTTTTTTAAATCTCTGAAAAATTCTTTGAAAAATTTTAAAATGACATTGAAAACGTCACATCTCGGAAACTAAAAACATCTGAACAGTCGCATTTGGGCGCAATATTTGCAACTCATGAGAAAACTCTTACGGTACCCCACTACAGGTGTCATCCGGCACGGATTGACACGCGTTAATTATTTATATAAACTCACTACCTGGAGTAACCTTTCTGTTGGTCAGTTGACCTTGTAAGATCTAAAGAGATTGGAGAGGCCGAGCTAAATCTCATACGTCAATAAATGGTTCCATGAATTAGTTGTTTTATTTCGCTCGCTTATGAAGTATCGTTTATCAATCCGTTCGGATTCGGTATCAGCAACTATCATACATAAAGGTGTGACATGGCGCAGCCATCAGGCTATTTGAAAAATCCTTCGAGTATCAATCAAGTCTGGGAGAAAGCGTCAGCCGAACCACAATTAGAGTGGTCTAAATGGGCAGCGATACACGAGACGGCGGTCTTTGCAAAAGATGGAATAGAGGTCCGAAACCTAAGAGCTAGACCTGCATTAGTGGAACCCACAGAACCCTTATACGAACTCGAAACAGAAACACAGAAGAAAAACCGAGATGTAAGAAATCAAGAAAAACGAGTTGGTTGAAAAAACAGTCCAGAAGGCAAGACAAAAAGCCGTATCATCTCTTTCCCGGAGCTACTTAAGTCTATGTATCGGCAAGGAAGGCCAACGACAAGTACAACAAAAAAACGCCAACCCTCAACCTACACACTACAACAACAATAGAACTTATGGCAAAACTGGAGGACATTTTTGTGACAAGAATTATATAATTTGAAAAATACGACTTTATTTGTCGAAAATAGAAGAAAAACGAAACCTTCGAACAATTCCACGCGGACCTCGTAGAATTAGCGTAGCGAGCTGATTGCGGACATGGATTGCGAGTGGGTTCGGGACATGTTCACTGCCCACATCAATCATGATAAAACAGCCGAAGAGCTACTGGCAGAAACACGAAGTCCACAAGATGCATATAAATATGCAATTCGTCGAGAAAAAAGAATCGAACACAGTCGAACCATGAAAACGATCCCATTCGGAGGAACAACAACAATGAAAACTACAAAGATTTGAGCAGACATGTGGAGGCGAGACTCGCAACTCCCTCGAGTACTCTGACAGCCCTCAATTAAAAAATTGCAAAAAATGTCATATCTCGAAAAATACAATGAATTGAGAAGTCATATTTGAATGCAAAGATTTTAACAGTCATAAGTGAAAGGGAGATTCGCAACTTCCGATAGTATTCTGAAAGCACCTAAATTTGAAAAAAACCTAAATTTGAGTTTATTGAAAAATCACAGAAAACGTCATATCTCAAAAACTAAGAGCATTTAAGCAGCCGCGTTTGACCGCAAGGTTTGAATCATAAAACTCCTGAGAGCACCCCCACAGTATCCAACAACAAAATTAAGATCTTCAAAACTTTCGAATTTTTTAAATTCTACGTTTTCCAATTTAAAAGAAATCCTTTAACACGTAACTGGGAAACTACATGGATTTGAGCAGCCATAAATAAAGGCAAGGTTCGCAATCCTTGAGACTACTCTGACAGCACCCAAATTTAGGGTTGGCAATTTCATGTTGTGTAAATTGAGTTTTCCAAAAAATTGAAAAAAAAAATCTTCGTACACTTAAAGGATTTGGACATTCAAAATTGGAGACCAAATTTCAACCACTGGATTAACTCTGAAATCAACCCACTGTTATGTTGCTAAATTTTAACTTGGCGGAGCAAACACTAAATTAAAACTGGAAAATCGAAAAAAAATTTGCAAAAAACGATCTAGCTTAACCACGCATATATACGTTATGCGATTACCTGTTGCAAAAAAAAAAACGCTTAAACATGGCAAAATAGTGCCACGGGCTTTTAACACAGAAGCGAAGCTGTGCTTCGCAAACACAAGCAAGGAAAATGCAAAAAAGATCTCTGAACAGGCAAAACAAAGTGAAATAAGGAAAAGGTTTAAAAGACACCTTGAGAAACTTTTTTGCAAGGCTTGGGAGCAACACTTTCTCACATCTGCTTCATGAAGGCTTGTATTTTTACTAACACTAGCCACCAATAACGCAGCTGTAGCTTCTATCAAATTGCCAATGCGATGCAACTACCTATTTCAATGTTCCAGATTTGGATCTCCTATCGATTGATTATGATTTCCACTTCCTCGCAATCGTGCCACGGACACTTGGAAGAAAAACTATTTGCCCAGCTTATGCTAGATTCACATATTTCAATATTTTCATCATATTTTGTACCGATACCGAAATGCGTAAAATTGAAAACTTCAAAAATGGACTTAACGCAAAACCCTAGTGATTTTTCTGCTTAAGTAGTGGATTAGCTGCATATTTAAAGAAAAAAAAACTACTAATTGATCTTTCAACTGAACTCATTCTCAAATTTGGCTGGGTAGTTTTCAAAAAAAAATGAAAAAGATTCCAAAAACGATCAAAAAATGAAAAAGTTGGCTTTTCCTAAATTCGCAAAGTTTTCTCTACTAAGACATGGTTTTAGCCTCGTTATGAAGGGAAGATTTCCACAACCTGATTCTAAGATCGAATCCTTAATATCGGCTGTAAAGAGTAGCTTTCGAGAACATTGATGAAATTTATTAAAGATAAACGATAAAAACTTAAAAACTGGATTTTTCTGATTTCCATATCGGATTTTCTGCAAAACAAATAAGGCGAAACAGATTACACAGGAAACATCTAAGCACGATTATAGTTTGAACGAATTATCAACCTCAGAATCAGCAGGTTAGTTTTTGAAGAAAAAAGAAGTTACCAAAAAGCGGGCAAAGTTTTAAAATTTGTACATTTTCTAAGGCCAAAAAATTTTCAAAACGTAGAGCATAGCCGCTTGCGCAGGGAAGATTTGCACACTATGTTTTTTCTTCCGGTTGAACTTTTTTCTCCAATTTGACAAGGTATTTTTTGAAAAGTCAAAAAAAATTAGAAATTAACCAAAATGTCAAAAAATAGGCTTGTTTGAGGCCAAAGTTTTGGTCTTTCGAATTTGGGGAATAGCCGCTTCAGATGGAGAGATCCCAACAATTAGTTCTTTAGTTTAAACGTTCATCTCAGATTTATGCATTTATTATTTGAGAAAATGAACAAATTCAAAATCAAATAAGTCACAAATCCCCTACTGAAACTTTCGAAAGCCGTAGAACGTGGAGTAAACTGAAAAGTGACTAGCTAAATATGCAGGCACATAGAATAGCAGCCAGTTTTTCAAATGACAATGTTTTGAAAATTGGCTCAGTAGTTTTTGAGAAAAAAATGACATTTTTGCAAAAATTTTCCAAAAAAATAACAAATCCCATACATTTTCATAACACCTGTTGTTTTCAAACAGGACCTAACACTAGAAAAAAAATCAGCACTATATGCTCTTAAAATATCTACGCGTAAATACGCTTAAATATGATGAAATTGAAATATACCAAAAGTTTCACTAATGAGCATTTTTATTTGCTGTTGGAAAGAAAAAAAAGTTAGTAATAATACAATTCGCTTGGCTTGTGTAAATATTGTATAGATGGATTATGTATTGGCGCTGGATGCGCCTTTTGAAAAATTTTACGGTTGGTGCGTGCTAAACATTGCAAATCCATGCTCTGAAACTAAAAGTTCAAAAAGTCTGACCAAGAGGCCACTCTAAACTCACCTTTTGTTCTATCCCCGATTTGTTCACAGCATCGTCACGTGACTTGTGATGCATGAGGTCAAACCCGTGCAGGCTGACGTACCAGTGCTTCCAACTGCGCTTCATTCTACTCGCTAAACACACCAATGAGCTTCAGTTCCACACGTGCCAAATGTAGCCTCAAACAACCAACCCAAGTACGTAAATCCTCTCATTTTTACGTTTTAAGGTGGCTAGACAGCAAAATGGCTGACCAGCATAATTCCGAAGTATTTTCTTTTAAGATAACCCAAAATTTAACAGATTTTTTTCCGCATTTCTGGAATTCAAATTGGCCGACTTGAAGACTAATTATGTGAATTTAATTCTGCCTTATCTAATTCTTTGCCTTTTCAAATGATTCTAATCAGCCGACTCGACTTACTCTTCTTTAGCTCGGGTTCGAACAGCCACTTGCGACTGAGATAGCCAGAGAATGAGATTGGTGCCAGGATACCAGCCACCCCTATGGCGCCTCCTGCCGTGGGGTTGAAGATTGCACTTGGATAGGACAACGAGTTCACATTCTGAAAAGACGTTATTAATCATAAACACCACATGTCATCCAGTCTACTTAATCGCTAGCAAGAGAACAACCACACTTCATATCCAAATCAGACACATGGCTAACAGTCATTCGGAAAAACTTTCAATTGAAACACACACGCGACGGGGATCTCGCACAACTAGCGATACAGCGCAAGTGCAGTATTGCAAGCTAGCGATTACATATTGAGACGGACATACTAGAGTTGAATTTTTGGAAAAATAATTATAGCCAACAGACAGTTGGAAAAGAGTCATGAAAGCAAGGAAATTGCAAAAAAATACTGACTTTTTGGAAAAGATTCAAACTTTAAATTTCAAAGAAAAAAAATACATGACCTTTTACTCTTTGAATTTCAAGAAGAACTTATGATCGACATTTTTTTGGAAAACTAACCCAAGTTGAAAAAACTGGATCAATAGATAAAATTTTTATTCCGCCGGGAAATCTGTACATGAAATTCTACTTTCGAAACGAGAAGTCAATGGCGTTTTTCGTGACCACTACGCTTTTTCTGTAAGAGGATGAGTTAAATGCGTAAGGTTAACTGTGCACATAACTTGGAGGTCTCTGAGTGAATTTTGCAATCAATTTTGCAAAGGATATTTTCTTTTTTTTTAAACCGTTGTTAAAGGAAATGATCTACAAATAAACTGTTCGGCTCGATGTGCACAATCCTAATGATCCTGATTACAAGCAGACGTAACTGATATACGAGCTCACTTTTGCACAATGCTAATGATCCGGATCTACTTAACAATCTCCACCCTTTCAAGAGAGGGGGGATTGTTAAGTAGATCAAAATGGTCGATTTTTTGACCAATCAGAATGCAGCAAAATTAGAATTCTCAATAGAAAGCTCAGTGCTAAGTTACTGTATGTTTTTATTTATAGAGGGGGGGGGGGGGGGGGGGAGAGATTGTTCAGTAGATCCAATGATCCGTTGATGACGCAATCGAACGTTTGAGTTATAACACGAGCTCCTTTTTTTCTAGCCAACAGATACGTTATTTATGTGCTTTTCTTATTTCCTACACAAACCTTATTATAAACCAGTGAGCTTCTCCAGAAATTGTCAATACTATGTTAACTTTCTCAAAATAGAGGGAAATTTTACATGGTGAACAAATCAACCATTCAGAACAAGTTTGTTCTTCACACCTTACAACAAAAAATACGTATTTAACCATAATAGCATGACTGGTGTGCGCAGAGATTTTTTTGGGGGTGGAGTGGAGGGCGGTTTTTAAAAATTTCTGATGATGAAAATTTTCCCGATCTTTTTTTAGGCCGAATAATTTCATTTTCCTGAGCTCTCCGAAAATATTATACGGATCCCATTTTGTCAAAATGATCTGGGCCGCAGGTAAATTTTTCAAACAACAGGTCAAAAAATGCATTTTTAGGCACTTTTTGGAAAATTTTAACACAAAAATCGCGGTTTTTTTTCGGCGCGCGCTCCCCCCTCAAAATTATTCATATTGGCACCCAAGGCGCCTTTCGAAAATTTTTGAGGTTACTTTGCAAAAAACGGATGTAAAATTATACTAAAGGTGGAACCTAATTTTGGCAACCAGAATTGAGGGGGGGATGGCGGCAGTCCCCCCCCCCCCCTCAGCACGCTTGTAGCATGATAAAATTGTATGAAAATGGAGATTTCTCTGTGTGGTGAAAGTGGAAAAGAGCACACCTATTAAGAGTTATATAATGCGTTCGTCATTTAACTCACGTTTTCAGGTGCTTCCACAGTCATGTAGTTTCCCTTTTGCTGTGAATGGCCGTCTACTCCGTCTGTGTAATACTCCGGCATCCTTCAACGAGATGATGTTACTTATCACAAGGGAATCGGAATAAATTCTCAGGCGTCGCATAGTTAAACAACTCGGACAGCTTTGCCTCCAAAAATAATATTCTACCGGCCGTTTTAGTCTAAAAACTAGAAACGCCTGTTGAAAACTGTCGTTGCTAGAAAAACAAAATGAAATGCCAAAAACGCCAAATACTTATGGTAAAATGGCGAGTTCATAGCGGAGATTGCGACCAACATTGAAAAGAGTAATTTGATGGATTTTGAAGGAATTGGCTTTTTTCTTAATACAAATGACATAAGTGCGGAGGCTGTGGCTTACTGGTAGTAGTCTATGGTCATGCCTCCCATTGGATCCATGCCGGGCATAGAGGGGAACCCGGCACACATCAGGGGTTCGTCTCGGATCGAGTCGTACAACTCAGTCAGCAACTGCCGACTGTACTCTGTGTACTCCTCTGCAGGCTGGCCTTCCATGTGTTGGGGTTTCGTAATGACGTTAGTGACGAACTGGGAGGCTGTCATTGGCTTCACTCCCAAAGTGTTGTGGGAACCTGCCCGCAGTGCGTTCAGGTCTTGGTTGAGCAGAATCAATGCTGTTACCAGGTAGTCAACACATTCTATAAACACATCCCATTGTAGATACATGTGCAAAATAGAGTAGTAAATAAAAATACCAAACCACAATACCAAATGTTTTGAGCCCAAAGTAATTCTTCATAGATAAAAAAAAACTTGTGAACGGCAACTGAGACAAAACTTGTGCTAATTCCAGTAAGTTTTTGTCATAAAAACATTGAACTATAAAGCATTAAGACTCTCGGTAATTCTAAGACTATCAGCAAAGGAGCATAAAAACTGTTTCACTTGAAACGACCCAATATTAGGTCACTAACTATGGTCGAATAAAATTTTTAAACGAGAAAAAAAAATAAAAAAAGAAATACGAAGTCGAGGGTAGTAAAATTACGAATTGCAGGAGTAAGTACAACACTAAAAGCAACTACAATGAAAATTGCGTGCAGAAAAAATGATTCCAAGACCAGGCAATTAATACGACCAAACATAGGAAGACAAATAATAGTTCGAAAACTTTATCTGAACACAGAAGCGAGGTTGCACTTCGCACACACAAGCAAAAATATGACCGATAACGCTACTGGGAAAAACTGAATGAGTTCAATTTTGAGTCTACAAAACTTCTTAAGTGATGCGAGCCAATTATGGCGCATTAGCAGTACCATTCAATTTGAAAAAAAAAGAAATTTACCTTCTAACATCCTTCAATTTATAGAGCGGACGCATTTTACCTAGTGTACGAAAAAGATCATTTAAAACATCCGACCTTGCACAGGTTTGAACCTTCTTATTTTATTGCGGGTCTGCTTCCCTGCCCCTACGCTAAGATCCATGATACCTTGAAACTTAAGTGCTATGTGTAATACAAAAAAATGTGTTAATATCCTTGGCTTTGGCTGTACTTAATAGCTGGTTATTGATCAAAATGAACACTTTCAAAATGCACACAATTTGTCACAACAAAATTTGCGACTCAGGTTGGAAAAAAAAAGAGTTCATACTATAACAAGCTTTGCTTGTGCAAACAGAATAATTCTAATTGAAAAAAAAAACTGGTACCACCAGAAGATGAGTCCTGTTAACAAAGTTTGCAATACCCTTGCTAATTGCCAGGGTAATCACTTTGAAGATCTTTCAGTTTCAAAAACCTTTGTTAATTGAAACCTTTTTTATTTAACATTCAAGAAAACTGGATCAATAGTTATATTTTTATTAACTGGGAAATCTTAAAATTACAGCTCAATCAGTCCAACGAAGTTTAAGAACAAATTTCTGAATGTCTGGGTACATATGTCTGGAAACTTGCGGCAGCCAAAAGGATTTAGCGGATATTCAGACCATAACATAGTCAACAGACAATTGGAAAAAAGTCAATGAACAGGTTTGAATTTCCAATAAAAAAATAGATGGCCATAAAGCTCTAAGAATTCTTGGACAAACCTAAAACTAACAATTTTTTTATACAATTAACCCAATTTCAAAAAATGGATCATTAGGTTAAGCTTTTATTTCGCTAGAAAATCTGAATTAAAGTGCATGTTCGAAATTTACAGTTGAACACGTTTCCGTGCCCTTTTCTTTTTGGCTCTTTGATCGCGAAGTTTGCCTTCCTGCTAACAAAGACAATGAACTGAGCTTGCAAAGAAATCAAAAATCCAACCGCGATTTTGGGCCTGAATAAATTTTACGATTCAATTTAGGGTTTAATTTTAGGTCAGAACTTGGCAAAACCAGTAGCACTTTATCAGGTCTGGTGAAATTTTAGGCAGTTTTGAGTTTGTCACCTTTTGTTGGGTTCAGATTTTATTTTAAAATTTCCGATTTTATTCCTTTTGTTTGGATAATTTAAACAATTGCGAGAACACGACAAAAAGCAGCTTCATAAAGTGCAATAAATAGTAGAAATAAGCCCCTAATTAGCAAAAATGCGGCTACGTCTGAGATTCAAACTTGTGCCATTGATATTAAGAGGCACACACACACACACCAACCACTCAGCAGCAAATAAAGCAGAGAACAGATGCTATTCAATTTCCAATGAAACAGTGAAACTTCTACATAAGTGAACAATTTTATTTGCGAGTTAGTTTAGAAAAAAGAAGGTTCGAAATAATACACTAAGCTGAGGCTAGTGTAATCAACACTGTTAATACATGTGTCTCTCACCGAATGATGGGAAGAGGTCTGGGTTGCAGTCTGCGTATCGTCTCGAAAAGTGGGACAGAATCCTCTCTCGCTCTTGAGTGTCGCCGTACAATCCCAGATTGGAGAAGAACTTGCGCAGAGAGACGTCTATGCGCTCCTGGTGGAAGTCGAAGAATTTGAAGTATTCCGTGGCCACCACTTGCGAAAACTCTTGTCTAGAAAAGTCGCAAATTCAAAATCACAAATAAACGATGACCACAAAATTATACTTACACAAAACTTTTTCCTTCCAGGGTCACAACTTTTTTTTGATTTAAAAAGCTGAGTTGACAAATTTGCACCGTAAAACTATTAATTAAAATAATTCGTCGAAAAAAAATCTTTTGAAAATTCTCCTCACTTTTTTCCCAAATGCTTTGGCACGTCTGACTTTCCGAACCCATTCAAGTAGTAGAGCCTCGAGGCCAGTCGTTTTGCTGCTGCCAGGTCAACTTCTGGAGTCGGTTTGGGCGGCGGAGGAGCTGCAATTTCCAAACTCTCTAAAATGTAACATTTTTCCTCTGGGTCTTCATCGTCATCTTCTAAATCGAGGTTCTTCTTCTCGAACGAGTCTCTTCGATTCGAACTTCCCTTCGCCGAACGAACTCCAATAACCTCGTAATTCTCATGATTGACACTGCCGGAGATCCCGTTTATTGGAGTTACATTCGTCAAACGTCCTGAAAGTAAGTTGCCACCGGAAACTGCAGTTGCGGCTGAATTTGAGCTGGGTTCCGAGCTGAAGAAAAGATTTCTCGGAGTCTGGCCTAACACCGGCGAATTGAAATGTTGCGTTTGCTGGGCTGGAGAATTTTCGTCGTCAGTAAACGATTCGTTTAGGTTCTTATGCATCGGAGACGTCGAGGGACCCGTTTCATTCAGGGATTCCGGAGAAGTAGTTACATAACTATAATTCGCGTCCGATGATACATTCAACAAAACATGTGAATCACTCGATTCATCATTCGCTTTTTTCGGCGATGAAACTTGAAATTCTGTTATCAGTGGAGGTTCAGTTTCCGACTGCTCTTCAGTTTCTGGTTTTTGAGTAGCGAAGCTGGAATTGAGCGACAAGTTTTCTGGAAAGTAGTCTGCCCAACAACTGCTGGGATCTGCTGTCGCGATTGCTTCCTTGATTTCCGGAGACAACGAACGTGACTCTTTATCGGGAGAGTTTGAAGTTTCCGAAAATTCTTTTTGGTCAGTTGTTTCAATTGCCGAGTTCCGATTTGAAGACGTTGCCGACGCGCGACTTCTCGGTCGGTTCCTGGAAGACTCCTGCACTAAGATGTCCTTATCATAATGAAAACGTGGTTTTTTATCCTGTTTTTTAACTGCTGAATGCGTTTGCTCGTTATCAAGTGAATTTTCACTTTTTGCCCCTATTAAATGCACGTCGGTCGGCATACTTTTCGTACTGCCTGAAGACGAAATTTTCGATAAATTATCGTTGGATTTTTTGGCCGACGTGTTTCCCAGCCGACGAATAGTGGCATACCCGGCGAAACAGTTATCAGTGGTGTAATCTAGACAACTCGCTTCTAGAACCGCGGACCCGTAAGGAATACTGTGCTGGGATCCATTCAAATTGTCTCCTCTAGAACTGGTCAAAGTACTTCTGCTTCCCGAATATTCTGACAAGGGGTTATTGACTTTGTGTGTATGACCAGACTGAACAGTTAGAGATTTCAAGGCGTGCAGATTGTCTGGTGAAACGGCTGCCGCGATTCGGTCGAAGTCGCGAGGGTCGTTAAGAATCTCCCGCGCTTTCCGTCGCACGATTGGATCTAGGGGTATAGAATGGTTACATTATTTCACATAAGGTAGGAAAAATTGATAGAAGAATTATTTTCACATTTGATGCTCCCAGTAGTTAAAAAGCTACTAGAAATGATGACCTCAACTGGGAAATGGTAGTGATAGGCTGGCTACTGCTATTTTAAGCTTGACTACTTCATACTCCGTTAAGCGTTACCATAGCTCTTATATTGAAGTAACTTAGATCTGATAAAAATAAACAGAATTAAACCCACTTAAATTATGAATGAGCCCAAATTTACTTCATACGTCGCCCCGGGGAAGGATTTCCTGGTTTTCTTTTCAATTCCTAATTGAATTGCATTACGCAATGTGTTAAAGCATGCCTAGCAACCATTTACCTTTTTTCACCAGGGTAGCAGACAAATAATGATGCCTTTTTTCAGTTGGTAAGAATTTATGGTCAAAATGGCCGATATAATTAAATGTAAATCGCAAATAGTATTCAATATCCAACAGAAGGTACAGTGAAAGTGTAATTCTTACCACCAACAATAACCTCAATCGAAACTTCTTTTGGGTTAAAATTCTGAGCTATTCTGTTGAAATTCTCGGCGTAAAATGAACTGCAACAAAGGGTACAAATTCACATGTCGACGACATTTCCACAAAAACATAATTTCTTTGTAAATACCTCAACAAGGCAAGTGCCATAAGGACATTGATTTGATTTAAGTCAAAACAATTCAGCCTGCTTCGAAGAAAATTTCACTTGGTTCTTTACCTTCAAAAGAAGTTGGCTTTACAAAATCAAGAAATCACAACACGGTTAAAAGGGACCTTTTAGCTTTGATTGATTTTTGTCGATACCGATCACAGCTTTGAAAAGGAGGCAATTACCAACTTGCTTTTTATCTCAACCCTTTAGCTCACTTTCCTATTTGAGAAGATAAATCAAAGATTTGAACAGACAACCAATTGAGCCCCAAAAGCGACAATGCCAGTTTCATTACGAAAGATAGATTCGCATTCTCAACCAAACAAAGCGCAGAAAAGGTGCGTGGTTAGGAGTTGCCCATTAAGCATATGTAATGCAAAGTCAATTGACAGACCATTAGAACACCCCGAAAAGTGCTCACTTCCCTTATTGAGGCGGCCAAGTTTGAACTTTCTTCCCAATTTCGGTTAATCCCAAACAGCAAGTCATAATAACTAGTTCTCACAGTTTCAAACAACTTTGGTTTCACTTGAAAGAAGTTAACACTTTCGTTGGTAGCGATAATCTACACTTGCACGATTGCTATTAGGATAGCAATAATAGAATTAGAATAGAGTCGCACCAAGTGATAAAGCTCTTTTCTATAACAACATAGGATGAAGATCTTTTTGTTCGTTATGAGTATTGTTCAGGCAGCCACAATCATGCAAATTGGCGTTGACTTAGCGCATGAACCTTGGTTCAATTTTGGGGTGGATATCGTTCACTTGGTTAGCTTAATTTTGCGGCCCGGTAACTTGATCCTAGCTGGCTTATGGGGCAGCGCAATCATTATCACAGAGCCGAATTCTGCAAACAAAAGCAAAAAAAACGCAAAAAAAAGCTCAAACGACAAACTTAGCCAATCGAAGATTGGAAAAGAGTAATGACTACAAGCAAAACTTTGAAAAAACACTGATGGCTCTTTGAGTTTCTAGAACAACTTATGATTGGCGTTTTTTTGATAACATTAACCCAATTTCAGAAAACTGGATCAACTTGTAGAGTTTCTATTCCGCTGGAAATCTAACTAAATAAACTCCATTTTCGAAACTAGAAATAGTTCACGTTCGTATTTGGAGAGTGCTATTTACGTCACTTTCAGCAGATGAATTTCAGTTTAACTCAAAAAGTGCATCGATACCTAAGTTCATCAATATTTTAAGACCTTTTCCTGAAAAAAAAACAAAAAAAATCAGCAAAACCTATATAAGAGTACACGTTCATTACTCTTAAAAAAACTGTAATTAACGTATGCTTAGCAAAAAACTTTGCTCTAAAATTTGCGATTTATGTTAGTAATGAAAGAGGACTGCCCGTTTAAAACTCCACTCACAAGTTCAAAAAAGCAGTCTGCCGAATCAGAGTATAAAAAAGGCTGAAAAAAGATAAGTAGTCAAAGACAGAGTGCATAAAAACAATAACCACATGCATCAAAAAATTTAAGAGTTAAAAACCTCCGGGACACAAACATGCACAAAAGACAGTTGGAAAACAGTCAATGAAGGCAAGCAAACAGAAAAAAAAACACTTTTTTTCTTGACTTTTGTTATTGAAAAAATCTCTACTTTCGAAGAAAAAATAGGTGACCTTAATATTCTTAAATTTCTATAGAGATTTTTGATTAACACTTTTTTGATAAAACTAACCCAATTTGAGAAAACTGGATCAATCGCTAAATTTTCCATTCCGATGAGAAATCTGAAAATTAAATTAAATTTTTGAAACTAGAACTGGTTTCGAAACTGGTTCCTGAAAATTAAGAAATATTGGATGAAATCGATCAAGCTTCTCCGAAGCAATCAGCAGCTAAACGTCGAATATAGCCAATTAAAAGTGTCGAATCTATTCCTAAACGAGATTTCTATAACATCTTCAAAACGCTAGTACCGATATTTACAGATACGTAAATTTTATCAAGAACGTTCGATGGCCATCAATCCAGATAAGCCAAGATGATGCATTTCTTTTTGCAGGCTTTCGATGTTACAAAAAAGAGTTTCAAAAAATGCATTATTACACAGAGGCAAACACTAGCAGGAAAACGAGAAAAGCAGCTCTATTAAGTGAAATGATAAAATAAATTAAAATAAGACTAGAAATATAAAAACTTTTGCTGTGGCAGATTCGACAACTTTGCATAGAATAAATTGGAAAGCATAAAACCAATATATGCAAAAATGATGGATTTTGAAAAAGTTGCGAGACATTGAGTTGGAAAATTTCTGAAATCGAGTTTTTAATATTGTCCTCTTCTTTGAAACAAGTAGCTTTTTTCGGTTCATTTGATGAATTATATATGTATCAACTGTGTTAAATTATAACTAATTGAATGTCAAAGCACATGCTATCAAAAAAGCCACAAATGTGCCTAAGAAGTGGCACCAATATTTGCGACATGGGTTGGAAAAAAAGATTAGTCGTTCTAATGCACTACGCTTGCTAAAACTGGCGAGTTTAATGATTGCGTGATTAATTGACAAATCATAAAACTTAGCCAACACACAGTTGGGAAAAAAGACATGAAACGCAAAAACAAAAAACAATACTGATTGTTTTTTAAAAAAAACGTCAACTCTCGAACTACAAAGAAAATGATATATGGCACTACAGCTCTTTGAACTTCAAAAACATTTTATGACTGACACTTTTTTGACAGAGTTATCCCAATTTTAGAAAACTGAATCAGATAAGTGAAGTTTGCCTTCCTTTTAACAAAAAAAATGAATTAAAAGTCAAACCGCGGAAGAAAATTTGAGCCTGAGCCAACTTTAGGATTTTTCTTGAAAAAAAAAAATCTTCACGACATATATAAGAGTCTGAACTATGTTCATCGATTGTTATAAACCCTGTTATACATATTTTTTCAAATAAAGGGTTTCATGAAAAATACTTTTGAAATTCAAGAATCTTTTTAGCACGTTTTTTTATCATCAGAACAAAACAGCTAGCCGACAGATTACATAAAAGCAATAAATCAAAAAAACTTAGATAGATCTACCAACAATTTCGAATGTTTGTCTCAAATATCGGATGAAAATTATTTGGAGGGAAACGTGAGATAAACAATTGTCAGCATTGATTTATCAATGAAACAAAATTTACGAAGCTTTAACTGAGCTGACAAAACTTGAGTAGCAGCCCGACCGATAGAAAAATGTTCATAAAACATTAGCCCTAAAAACTGTCCCCGTTCAAGGCACAAAATCTTTTTTCGGCCTTCAAACGACGCATTGTTAGTCAGAAGATCCTAAATCTTTTCAGCCGAATAAACCTTTTGAGTTCTTTTATTGATGATACTTTTCGCGGTAGTCTTTTACTGTGCTAACGGGTAAGAAGCATTTTTAAAATTGTTTGTTTAGACGTGCTGAGCTTGGTGAGAAACAAATATTTTAGAGTTGATTAGAGACTCATGCCCGCCTGTATTTTGTTGACTCACGATCGTGATTTAACAGGAAGCTAGTAGCAATTTAACAGGAAATACTTTTTCCAGTGCGATCCCACAAACACCATGTTTCATTGCGGATTTTGTCCCTATATGTCATTTATACTCAAGAAATGACAGTTCATATGCGATCGCTTTGGGTAAGATTGTGTTTATTCCAACTAGTAGCGATCAGACCTTGAGACAAGGTTTAAAAAATGAGACTTAAAGACTAATTCATTTCCAAATTGGCGGCATTAAAAATTCACGACTAAGCATGCTTTCCCGCAATTTAGGCAATTGTTGTAAATACCATTGAACTTAGAGAACATAAAATGATGTTTAGCCTTGTAACGCCGTTTATTGAGTAAATTTAAAGACCAGATAGTGACAAAATTATATTTACCTTTGCGTATTTTGAGCTCAAGCGTTAAGTTCGGCTGTGCTTGGAGATAGCGGGAAACTGAAACAACAAACCATTATTAAAACCAATCAGTCAAACAAAATCTCATTCTTGAAACGGTTAGATGGGCGACTACTTGTCGGTTAATAAAGCTCATTCACTAGCGAAGCGCACTAGGTCATTACCCATAACATCCAAAAACCGACTCTTAGTTCAACAATAACCCTTCTGGGAAAACATTAATGCATACTTCAAACTCGCTTTGATTAGAAACATTAGGCAAATAAAGTATTTTAGCAAATGGAAACTTTCAAAGTTATGCCAAATTGTAAATCGTTGATATGAGTCTATTTAATCTTAAAACATCGGATTTATTCTGTGATGCGAGAAGCTAAATTAATAAAAATACCTACCTGGCATAAGGTAAAGGCTAAAAATCACGAAGCTTTCATTCTAATGATTTGATTTATTTACGACCAAAGGCCGGCATACAATAAAACTAATCAATTATTCAGCTCGATAGAGCAATAGCTTTTTCAAACTTTAAGTGAAAAAAGCAATCAGGAGGCGAATATTTAGGTAGAAAAGTTTCAACAAACTGAAACTCTGACTTCTAGTTTCTAAAAAAGATGAATTATTGGATTGAAGCTTCAGAAGCAATCAGCAGTATGAAGTCGAATATAGCCAATATGTATGTAGTGCGGGGACGATATTCTAACTGTAACAGCTGTCAATTAGTGTCGAATCCAATCTAAGATATAATTTTTACAGGGAGGCGAAGCTGCGCTTCGCAAACACTAGCAATAACACGACAAACATCAGCTCTATAAAGTGCAAGAAAAAAAGGTTGAAATAAGTTTCGAATTAGTAAAAAAAAAATCTACTACGACTCGGGATCGAACATACTAACCATTCAGCCAGGACGCTTAATACACGACAAGCACTAGAGACATATGAAGCAGAGAACAGATGCTATGCAATTTCCAATGCAACAGTGAAAATTCCATATAAGTGAATACTTTTAATGAACACTTGTATTTGCCAGTTAGGCTAGAAAAAAAAGAAGGTTCGTACTAATACACTAACGCTCGCAAGTGTGATTACATTATGACCGTTTTTAGGACCATTATTTGAAGAAAGTATTTTGTAACTAGAACGTTCGATGGTCACCAATCCCGATAATCCAAGATGCCTTTTTTAGTGCAGGCTTTTCATCTTACAAAAAAAATTATAAAAAAGAATTATTATGGTTGCGACCCGATTGACTGACAAATCATAAACATAGCCAACACGCGGCTGGTAAACAGTCAAGGAACTCACGGAAACAGAAAAAATACTGAATTGTTTTTTTTCTGAAAAAAAAACATCAACCTTTGAATTTCAAAGAAAAAGATATATCGCCTTAAAGCTCTTTGCATTTCAAAAACAATTATTTTTTTTTGACATTTTTAGATAAAATCAACTCAATTCGGGAAAACTGGATCGATATGCTAAATTTTTATTCCACTGGAAAAACTGATAGTTAAAATCTAATTTAGAAACAAAAAATCGATTACGTTTTTCATGACCTTTGCATTTTTGCTGTTCGAAAGCCGAGTTGCCTTCCTTTTAACAAAAGAAAATAACTGAACTTTAAAGGGTATTCAAAATCCAAACCGCAAAAAAATCAAACTGGAATGTGCACGAATTTTGAAATTTTTTTCCTGAAAAAAAAAATTATCATGACCTTTGTAAAATTATTCACTGCGTTCAAGACTATAAAATCAAAAAAACTTTCTCAAAAAAATTCTGGAGAAATATTGGAATCCAATTACCTGAACCATTGAGAATTTCACAAATGTCTTTGCAATGTTTGAAAGAAGCTTAATATCAAAATCCAAAAAGGAAACTAAGCTGCCAAAATGAGCGAGCAGGCGTTAGTCTGAAAAAGACAAAAACTTACAGTTTGCATAAAAGACCGCGGCAGGTCTCGGGTTACGCAATTTTGCCGTCTCAAGCATGGGTTTACGTCCTTATAAAAAAAAGCAAACTGAAGCAGGAGTAAAATTTCCAAGCGCGGATTCTGAACAAACTAAGTCTGTCCGTAAGAAAAGCCTAGCGCCCGGTTGCAATACCACCACTTACCGCAACGTAATCTTCATTTTCATGTGAAAACCAAGCTGACTGAATCGACAACTGAAAATAATCACAAGAAGTCAAAAGGAACAATGACACTTTTCTCAAAAAAATCAATAACTTAACTAGTGTCGCCAGCTCAACTACCAACGCAAACAAGCAACAAAAGCTACAAAAAGAGCCCTAAAACAATCAACAAAATAAGAAAAAAAAACTAAAAATATATGCCTTCAAAACCCAGAAATACAAATGCTAAGCCTTGAACAAACGGACCTCTGGATTGTAACCAAAATCAACTTACTATGTGCCACATACATATTGAAACCATTCAGCCACAAAAATCCTAATTAAACCTAGAAAAAAAGAAATCGTGATTTCCTTTAAGCGGATACAGCACAAGTTATTTAAAATAACCATTTTGAATCAAAAACAGCGTGCAAAACTGATCGTCTAAACAAAATATTCTGAAACTTCGAGTGTTTGAATTTCAAAAATAATTTTAGATTGACACTCTGTTGATAAGTGAGCAAAAAGAATTAACCTATAGTTAATTTTTGGGCGTCCCACTCTTTAACCCCACGATATTTAACCACCTATGTTTACAACCCTACTTTATAACCCCGTAACAAGATAACCCCACAACAATTTAACCCCCTTTTAATGACGAAAATTTGTTTCAAATTAACTCCTTTTATTAAGTCCTTTTACACTCATGGTAGTATTCCAATTAGGTGTACTAATTGAGGCCAGAGAAGCCATTTTTAATTCACTTCATGCATTTGTCGCTCAAAAATAATTGCATCTCATTTAGCTTAAAAAATAATCCTTCATTCACGCGTTTAAAACGAAGATAGCCTACATCGTGCTAATTGAAGGCAACAAAACACGTTTGTGAGTTTTATAAAAAGTCATATTGCCTATTTTTTAACCATTGTTATACGACTTTTTTAACCTTTGTTATATACCTCTATCAGATAGTGTTTGAAGCGTCTTTCCAATTTACTTTACCTTCGAAAGACAAACAATTACTAGTGGTATCAGGCCACGAGTATTACCTTAAACGTAAAAACAAGACAACTACAAATTGAAACTGCTCGAAATACCAAACTCATAAATGCCGCGCAACAGCAATTACGGAAGAAGAAAATTGTATTGAAACGAGGTGTGAACATAATCACGATATTTCTACGGCAAACATGATGCTCGACTACTTTTGAAAAACATCAAGGATCTGAGCGATAGTAATACCCTAACCGTCGCAGTCGCAACCGCAATTCAGCCCATAACAGACGACATTGCCACTCAACTAGCCTTACCAACCAAAAAACAATTAGTTCGCACCGCACAACGTGCGCGCAAACAACGAGAAGAAGTCTTACCAGTCTCCCCAGCAACCAGATGTTTCAAAACACTCGAACTTTTCAAAAAAAATTTTAAGATTTGACAGTTGGCAAAACGATCACGAGAGGATTATTTTATTCGGCGACCATAAAAAGATATGTGTGCTTGAAAAACTCAACTTTTGGTTGGATGACGGAACTTTCAAAGTCACCCCAAAAATGTTTTATCAACTTTACTCTATAGACATTAGTCTTTCAGGAATAGCCCTGCTTGCATATATGCGTTCCTGCCGAATAAAACAAAAAACTACAACCGTTTCTTAGAAGCCCTAAAAATACTAGCCCTTGATTAGTAGACCTGAAAAAATTTTGCTAGATTTTGAGCCGGCAGCTATTCAAGCGTTTCAGAAAAGTTTTCCAGAGTCCAAGCTGTCGGGATGTTTCTTTCATTTTTCACAAAGTTATGAGAAAAATTTTGCAGCTCGGATTGAAAAAGGATTCCAAAACAAACCACGAGTTCGGTTTAGCAGTTAAAATAATACCCTCACTGGCTTTTGAAGAAGAAGAAATTCGAAATTCATACGATAAAATAATGGAGGAAACTCAAATAGTATGTGATCTCACCAGAGTAGGAAAAAATAGCAAAAATTGATGAGCTTTGTCTTTACTTTGGATCCAACAACAAAAAGTCTCATCCCGAATCGAAAAGTCCTATTTCCCCCTTCATTGTGGAATCAAATGGATGAGGCATCATCGGGTTTGGCCAGAACAACAAATGCTGTAGAGGGCTGGTTTTATGGCATACAGTCATATTTCAGTGGATTGCATCCCAGTAAATGGAAAGTGATTGCAAATTTGCAAAAAGACGCTTCCAATAAAAAACTTTTCTATATCGCCTCGAGTAAACTTTTCTATTTAGTTTACAAAAAAAATAAAAAGTACCGGGTGCTCAACGAAAAAGTGCAAAATATTATGCATGTTTACGAAAAAAAACGAATTTGCATTTCTTCCGCGCTATGGCGAACTTGAGTTTAAGATTTGTTCTTCAAATATATTTACAACTTAAAACTTTGTTCGGCAACTTTTTCGAGAAAAGACGTTTCCTTCCAGCCTCCGGGAGACGTAAAAAAACGCATTGACTTGACTCGCATTTGAAAAAAGCTGTATCTAGCAATTTAATACCGGAACAATCGCTCCTTTGGATGAGACGCTATGTTGGAACTAGGGGCTGGCAAACCCTTTAGACATTGCGTTGTATTCCGACAATTCAGAAAAAAGTTAACAAACATTAGATGGTTCGAAAAAATAGATAAGTTTTACTTAAAATAATCGGGTATTTCAACTTGAAATGGTCCGCTCAGATCAAATTTTTGGTCACAACCAGTTCTCAATCCATACTTCATTTAAATTCAGTCAATTAATCTTTTACTGGCAGGAATTGTTTCAAGATCAAGCTCAGTTTTGGGAAAACCTAATCACTTTTGGTAACTAAATTGAATCATGTCGGTCGGATTCGTTTTCAAGTTCATATCCAAGTCTAGAATATCCCAAAATATTTTACGGTCCACTCAAATTGAATTTAAAAGGAAATAGCTGGATCCTGAG